AGGCGGGTTGAAGAACGCATGTGTGCATTTGTGTTTCTTAATCCGGTTAATATACTTCAGTCATTTTTGCTAGTAGTAACTTTCCAATTGTCGTTCCGATTGGAACATTTTTAACACAGCTTGTAAAAAGTCCGAAGGTGCTTCCGATCAAGGTCACCCCCTTGGTGTTTTGTATTCTTCGATACCTTCTTCGATTGATCTAAAATGAATATATGTATACATCAAAACGGGTTTTGAATGTTTCTATTGTTTACAGTATCATCACAATCATTTGGGGCAATGGCAATGATATTTAGATTGAACGGGATTTATGACCATTTCACGGACCGACGCCAGTTCCATTTTCTTCTTCTTCCACTCTCAATGCAACTCAATGTGTACTGCTAGGTGCAAGTTTATCCTTTTTTCTCTTCTCCTTTTATATCGAACATCTACCACTTGCCCCAACTGTTTTCACACATAGGTAATGGTTTATGGTGCATCCAACGACAACCCTACTACCAACTCTCTCAAGTCGGTCATAAGTTCCATTTCTAAATGGTCGGATGGCCCTTTCTCAAGCCCAACCGGATTCATTGAAATTTTGTTTTGCATTATTGGCAGGTAATCTAAACATTCCAATCACCTGTTACCAACGTCTGGGTTAACATCCCAAACGCTGAAGATTCGCAGCACTAAAAATAGTGTTTTCTGTATACTGACCTCAAATGATCCTTTCACGTGCAACAAACATTTCTTAAAGACAGAAGGCTGACGTTTTACATCTCATGCCTCCGACATTTGAGGGGAAGTGCTAAATTTGTATTTTCGTGCGTGTTATGCTATTGGACGTACTACTTCCCGTAATCGTCCCCGGTCTGTTGTCTAGGGATTCCGTATTGATCTAAAAAGCATTTCTAGATATGAAGCTGCCTTTTATGTGGGGCTTGTCGACTGCATTGTCAACCAACACCTTAAGGCTTATGGCCGCTTGTGTGGCTCTATCCTGTCTGGTGCATCACACTCTTTTACACCTAAATAACTTGCTCCGTTATCAACTCTGGCCCCAGCAAAAAACTTTTATGTACTCGTTTATATAAGTTTCCTTTGTGTGACTGGTCTTCAATTTCTGGTGTGTGAACGCCCAGGAGACTGCCATTATTCGTTAAAGGACGATTTACGACGAACTGGATACTCATGTGCCAATAAAACGGAGCGTTTATTCGCGTATGCCTTGACGACTAGGAATCAATTTGGTTTTGTTTTGAAGCATCAAAGAGTGTCAAAGTTGATCAATGTTTAGATTTGTCACACCATGCAGAATGATCAGACTGTATTAGTGGTGAAGCACGATGCGCTCAAGGTCAAAATGATGCAAAAAGGTATCGGAATAGATAGAGCTTTTGGCCCCAGTTTGGTTATGTAGGACATTACACCACACTTTAATTTACAGGGCGATAGTTAAATGGATTGGGTTGTCTTTAATACTGTTATTTGAACATCCAATACAACTATAATTGTACTCACTTCAATACTGGCAAAATGAACAGTCCCCTATTGGGACTAACGCAAATAATAAAACAAATGTCAACGTAGAATGTGATTACTTTGGAAGGTGGGTCGCAAGAACTCTAAAGTAATGAAAATGAAAATAAGTTGATGTTAAGAACTGCCGCCAAGTTAGACCGTAGATCGTAGTGGGGAACAGTTTGAATCAGGAAACCATATATTTGTTTGATAAGAACATTATAGAAATTCCAGCTAGGCTATCCAATTCGCAGTTCTCAGACATTAGGAAAAAAGTGGGATCATCAGGAATATTGCAATTATTCTAATCTACCAACTTCTATTATTAAGACAAAAAGCTTCTATTGAATGATGGTCCGAAATCCTCAGTATGGTTTAGGGTGGGTAATTATGATTGCGAGTGGCTATCCTTCTGTTCTAACTCGCTAAATGTTCCTACACAACTCAAGCAGCTCAAGTAGGATATAAAGAAATCATTAAATCAATGACAATTCACTCGAAGGGTTGGCCAAACCACTGGTTTCGAATAAATCAAGCTTGGTGGTACGATAAGCATCCATAAACTCCTGGTTATAACACTGCGCACCAGCTTCTTTGGGCTTCAGTTGCATTGGGCACACTGAACAGTGGGTCTGTTCCAAACGGCATAAGATTTGATGAAACGGACAGCTGCTTCCAATGGATTGCGGTTATCACACACCGCCCCGCTGATTGCTTATCAAGCGTGGGTTACTCGGAGACTCCTGTTGTGAATCCACCAAGAAAATTCATGTGCTCTGTGCTGGACAACCCGACAGCGTTTCTTTTTTAATAAACGTTTAACATTATGATCGGTTTGGCACATATTCTGACCTCGGAAACGTGTGAAATAAAGGTAATGTAATAAGAATTATATACCTGTTCCGGTAGCACGGTGATTGATTATTCGAGAATGACAGGGAAACTTTTACCACGAACAACTTACAGTCGTCAACCGGTGGGTAAATCCGAATTTTATTCAGTGTACATCTTATTTACACCCCATTTAGTTAACGAAAACAATAGCTCCTGCCAAACATTTCATTTACTCATATTGTCTGTCCATTTGGTCAATAAAACATTCCAATTGAGGGGTTGGGGTTAGTCAAACACCACTGAGAAGCATGAAAAAGTATAGAACAAACGGTAGAAGTTAAATTGCCACAATTGTTTTTTCGTTTTTCACGTGGAAACAATGGGCTGCTTGGTTGTCTCGGATTTTCCAAGGTGCTGATCAGTGATGCAACCGAATCTGCTCAACTAGCAGCACAAAAAAGCAAACGTTGACTGTCTTTCACTTGTCCCGAACAGGGAGGGTTTTTTTCTATTGTGAATATCTCACTTGTAATAATCGTTCGTAGTATGTTACAATCTAAAAACTGCACAATGCTTGGTTAGAACTCTGTTGTTGTTCGTAATTGCATGTTGTGCTCCGCTTTGCTTTATTTTTTACACTAAATCGATTAGTACAACCATGAGATTGCGTTTCATTGTACTATTTCCGTTCGGATCACGTTGACCAGACACGTGTTAGGTCATTAGCTATTGCTTGTAAGTAGTTTTCTAACTGAGGTGTCGGCCGACCTCCGGAATATGTAATCTTGTAACGATATTCAAAAAATAATAGATTATATTTCATTTCGTTGCGATCTATGGGCAAAAGTGAATGACCATTGCGTTAGTGGGATACTTAAGCAAATGAGGCTCAATAATTTTGGTTAGCCTCGGTGTGTGTGTTGGTTGATTGGTTGGTTGTTTGGTACAGCTTCGAAATGTACTGCTTCCGAGCAAGTTGTGCGAGAGTTACGCCCTGAATTGATCAGAAAGTATACATTATTACTCAACTCGAGTAAGCTCTAGAAAAATTCAACCAAATGGTTTCCTGCATTGGTACATGACGGAATGGATGAAACGAATTGTGCCTGTAAACAGACATTAAAATGCCGGCCCACAAGGAAACAGCAAAGTCTGATTTGTAACGTGAGAAAATAAGCGAGAACAGGAGAAAATAAGAACATTAGTGTTGGTGTTGGGAGTTCGCCAAGCCTAGTGTTTTGTGCACAAAATATTTCCGGATCAGAGAACTATCCTCACCCTGAAATGAAAACGTTCAGTTATATAGCAACTGATTTCACCAGAATTTAGAGGTTTACATTACAGAATACAGTATTTTTGGGGATTGTGACCACCACCAAAGAACACCGAATTCTTGGCACATGAATTACTCACTTAATCACTGTAAGCCACCACTGGCAAAAGCTTTGTGATGTGTGATTGATTTCATTCCCAATGGTAAAGCAGCCATTCAAATGGCCTTCATTAAGTCGTTCCCTTCTCAATCCTTTTATAGGGTGAAATCTCAGTTAGATTCCGGAATCCCTAATTGCTTATAATTTTTATTATGGTGTAACCTTCTGAAGTTTTGATTATGTTTTGCTACGAGAATGCGCCTTTTAAATCAAACCCCCATAATGATGTTCTGGTTTTGAATGCGTTTGAGGATTGAATCGGAAATCGCGCACCAGACCTCAGGCACACAATATTACCTGTGCCAAAAGTAACAGTTAACCTCGCTCGGAATAGGAAGAACGTTTGCCTTGTGTCCTTAATTTAAAAGTACTCGTTCATTAATAAACACTGAAACGTTTTGACAAATGATGCAGATTATCAGAACAAAATCTTTGGGGCCACTAGCACTAAAAAATGAATCCAAAATTGTGAAAAATTCGTGATCAGAAATTTGAACGAAATTTCCTGCAATCAATCAAAAAGACGAATGTATTTTAATCTTCTCCATGGGCACACAAATATTAGTTGCCCCCGTGTCCTCGGGAGGGATTGTCTCACCAACCTCACTTGCAATTAGTTCTATTTATCTATGGACTATTATTTGTGTGGCCCGTTGCGGCTTCTTTAGATGAGAAAAAGAATAATACAACTGATGTGAGGAGGTATTTCATCTGCAAATGTAAAACGCTATATATCTCAGTCTGAGTCTAACCAAAGGCTTCAACAGTGTCCATTAGGTGCAAAACGATGCATATTGTGTGACGACAATTTGCCAGGCTCAATGAATAGGTGAATCGTAAGTTATGGAATCACTGTCAAAATCATGTGCATAAAGTGTGAAGAAGTGTGTCTTATCCGCATGGTTCCTTTCTTCCTTACTCATTTTGAAATGAACCACACGAATTTCATAAAAGCATAAAGTTCTATTGAATTGTTTCTTTCTTAAGTATTAGGCTGCTTGCAACAAAGTGTGATGCTTACATTCATTCGACTTCAGTCGTGTTTTGATTTTATGCGGTTCAAATCAGCAAACATTTCAATTATAAAAATGATACATTTCTGGAATTACTTGTAACTGCATCCGGATTACGTGGATGCAACAAGTCATGAATGCATGTGTGGTTGATTTCAAATCGAACAACACTCGTTGAAAACGTTAAGAAATATTCTCCTTTTCCTCATCACAGGATTTTATCAAAACGTTCGATTTGGATGGTGATGGCAACATCACACTGGCGGAATATGAAAGAGTTCTGAATATTGTTCCCGCGCATGAAAAAGAGTAAGTTCAAATAACATTCCACCGAATGGCATTCCCGGTAAAACGACCCTGTTTGTGACTCTCATTTAACCCTGGTCCAAGTTCAGAATGTTTGGTTTTCCGTAGACCTAACGCCAATATAACGAGTGTTTTACCTTCTTAAGTGTCCGTCAACTTTTTCGTTGCAATAATTCATCGCAACTTGACCTCTGTAACGGTTCTCTATTGCGCTACGTGTGCTACAATCCTCGGGTTCCTCCCACAGTTTTGATTCTACCCTCTTCATCACCTTTCCATCGGACCAACCTTTTGCTGCATAATTCTTTTTGAAGATTTCGATGTGCTAGCACAAACTACTAACGAATATTTGATGTTCGCAGACGCTGCTGGTGACTGTATTCAAGCAAAATCAACTCATTAGCTCCAACTAGAAAAAAAAGGCAACGCAAATCCTGACGTAACTGAACGTCTCAGTTTATACATGAAAACATGTCCCTCAAAGGAAACGCTTATTAAATAAAACAACACTTTGCTTTAATATAATATTCTATGTTATTCACAAAAATAGTTAGGCCTCGATTTTATCAGTTAGCCTGAAGGCAACAAGAACTATTTCTTGGAATGAATATTCATTTCGTTCGATATGAAGCAAATCAAGTTAATAGACATCGGTTATTTGGTATGAACTCTCATCAGAAGTGCTTACTATCTAACTGTACCATACGTGCCCATTCATTACAATACCGGTTAAACCAATCTGCACTAAATACACTGGAATTTTCACACTAATTTGATGGTCTTGATAGAACTAATGGAGACCTTATTTGTCTCATATTTTATTTATCGACAAAAATTTAAAATACACGGGAAATTATTACTTACAAATAATAAACAAATTTATGGCCAGTAAAGCGTGAAAGACAGTGAGAAATGGTTACATATTGGTTAATATGGCGTATCTGATCCACGACTCTGGAATCATTTTGCCTGATTGGGTTACATCGACTATAGACGTAAATTTGTTTTCCGTCAATGTTTTGAGAAAACTGTCGATTTTTGAATAATGAGAGCAATAGACCGATGAAGAAATGATTGGTTTCTCCATTTGCTACTACCTGTTCGAGAGAATCACTAAAGCAATGGAATTGACCGTTACAATTTATTTTTTATTATTATCACCGTATAATATTGGGTTTCATAAGCTTATGTCTTTCCAGATATGAACTGTGCAAGTAGATTTTGCTCTGCATACGGCATTGAATTAACCGATGCATGATGCTTACTTTGTATTATCGATTTTTATGGAACGTCTAATTGGAATTTCAATAAAATTTACTTATAGCGATATATCGGATTAGTTGATTATAGAAAGTTTTCGGTTGTTCCATAATATCCATGCGGTAGCTTTCCGCAGTTTTGGAAAAACGTGCAAGAATTTAAAAGTACTCAGTGCTGCACTTACAGCCAGAATAACTGTTCATCATTGCCACCAAAAGTTTGACAAAACCGGGAACTTGCTCATAGAGCCGCAATCATTAAAATCATGTGATGAGATCAAGAGCCGCATGGTGGCAAATTTCAGGAATTCAAATGATGATACAACTCATTGGTTAGGCGCAAGGGCGTGCTAGGCTCTGCGAAGGTTCTTCTCACCAGTACCTGCAAACAGAAAGAGGATATCAGCCATTAACTTGAACTGAAAGGATAAAGGGGACAAATTTCCTAACTCCAGGCATTGCTTGATTAAAGTCGTTGTCGCTAATTAGCAGTACCGTGTTTATCTTCTTCTAATGGATACTTAGAAGTATATATAAGATAAATTTCAAATATGTGTTTTCATAGACATCACCAAGACTAGTATTTATGAACCGGTAAAAGTAATTCTGTTTGAATTCGGTAAAAGTACATAACTCCTTTTTATTCCACATAGAAGGTCACTTCAGAGTAGTTTCTGAAGTCACACTTCCACTGGTGCATCATGCTTTTTGCAGTACCTATTCAAGGAAATAGGTTAGTCATTGAACTTTCAGATAAAACGATTTTGCATTTACACCTTGCTGCAAGCTAAATTAATTGTATCCATGTGTTATCTGATTTTTAACTAGAATTGTTGATTTTAACCACAAAGTAATACGAATATATAATCAATTAATTATTACAATTATAGTGGCATTACCCACACGGTGAAAAGTTTAGTATACTACTTTCTATATTTGATACTTTAACTAAAAAACATCAATGTTTTGTGTTTTATTGCTTAGATTGTTGCCAGTTTTGGTTAGAAACTGCTAACATAAAAACCCATCCACCTGAATTCGTTTACTCTCTGTCAATCGAAACATAAAATCAAATCCAGTGTGCCGCTTGACAAATACTGAAGTTTCATGTGAGTAATGGAGGATTCGAGTCAATTTCAAAGGCGAATTCGTCGTGTATGTAGGAATGAAGCGTGAACTGAAAAGCTAGGAAGCACTGGACTGTTGTTTCGATCCGGTTGGATCTCTTCAACAGTGCGAATCCATCGGCCCACCTGGAGATTGAGCTAGGGATCTCACAGACAGAATGCAAGAGTACTGCCGACTCGGGCACCGGGAAGATGATCATAAAGTGTTTCATTTTCCACTTACTCGATATCACACAACCCATCTTTGTGAGCTTGTTGCGCGCCACAGATCTCGCTCATCTCAATACAAGCCTCCTGGTTGTGTCACTCAATTGGAAACAATTACAAGCTGACTACTTGTTACTTGGGAATAATGGATGCTACTGCTGAAATGAGCGAGGCAGAATGCGTGATTGGAATCATTCACCGAAAGGAGGTGAAATGTTAGCATATTTGTAAGTTGCAATTTGGATTCTGGGTTCAACCTTAACAAAACGCAGAATAATGCTGAGGACAACGCTCAAGTTCCACTTTCCAGTGGAGGATATGATTTATTATCTTCGTCTTCAGATCGGCATGAGGGTCACTGTGTCTTGACGCTTGCGGTTCAAAGTGTTAATTTAATCGATTGACATGCTCACAGGTCTTTGCCGAAAAGAGAAGAAAGAAAAGAATTTTACTTTTCGTTTGGATTGTTTATAAGAAGGATTATGACTGACCGTAATTTATTCTAAATTTATCGATTCAGTTCACCTAAAAACATCAAACGATTTGTTTCACTGAAATGAGTGTTTGAATTATGCAATCACGCTTATGTTTCTTAGATGTTTTATTAGATACGGGTAATTGTTTCAAATAAAAGCCTGTCCATTTTAAAATATTGAAATGTTTTAGTCTAATTTAGTCTAATTTTACCGATCATCTACTACCTTTAAATTATAGGGCATTCAGTTTGGATCGCCGCTCAGAACCACATTCATCTTTTACCAAATTAATTTTTATTACGCATGCACATAATAGATAAAGTTGCTTTTCTACAGCAGCGTAGAAAAAAGTGTCACTGACAACCTGGGTTTCTATTAGCCCATCAGATCATCAAACGGTTGAGGAAAACCGTTCACAAAACAGTGATTTTCTAATATAAATTACCCTCATGACTCCACGAGAATTTACAGAAAACATCGGCACATTATCTGATCTGGTGCAAATCTCAAATAATAGTGGCACTATTAAGTACAGATCAAAATGGTTTCCTCAGTACATTTTCAATCAGTTTCCTCAATTTTTGTTTGGCGGGGCATTGGGGGACGGTAAAGGTTTTGTCAAGCCACATGCGAAGAACACAGCTTGCACAAAAATTAACAGTGACAGTAGTATCAGGCGCGTCTGTTTTACGTCGTTAGTATTGGTGGTAATCAAAAGGTTCTGTTCATTGTCACTTTGAGCTCTATGGTCTGGGGTTTAGACCCCTCCACTAGCACCCAACACATGAGTGTTGGGTGACCTTATTGTCATCTGGCTCATTGTCACGCATATACAGATGGGGTCTTTTGTTGTACGTCAATAGCAATCATGGGGTCTGGACTACGGTCCCTTGACTGAACACCATGTCCTCCTGAAGATGAGCTTGGTCTCATTGACAATAATCACTCAACATTAGGGATATAGATATTCCAGTAAAGATAGTCGACTGTTATAAGGGAACAGTTGAAGGAAAACAACAACATGCGTGTGCTTTTACCAACTCAAGATGTTAAGGAACTCATATGCTGGGTTTACAAAACACCAGCGAAAACTTGTACTTGGTAACAAAGGAACATAGATATAAGCCACTACTTTGATCGTTTTGAAGATTGTGATTAACGTACAGAAAAATCATAGATCGGTCAATCTACGGTGCCAATGAGACGCTTGACTGAATAACCATTCACTGGATTCGGTTTGATGACCACAGCATTTTGATGAGAGAGACAACTGGAACGAGAGGCACGACTTATAGCAGCTCAGTCGTGGCTTATGCGTCAGAGAGTGGTTTTTGTGTAAACCTGGGGGTATTACAGTTTGACACATTAGTTTATAGCTGAAACACAGATGGTTTGTCTAGCTCCAAATTGTTTGAGTTTAGGGGTTTGAAAAGAAAGTAGTTGGAGCTTTTAACGCAGTCCCGAACCTTGATAAACATCATAGCCAGTTATTGCTATCTGTGCCACGCAGGTACTTTACGATGACCCACCTAAGTTGGAGCTCGTGATAATTATCCATGTCTTATCAGAGTTGAGGAAACTTTGGAGGGTAAACATGCATTCATTGCACTTAAGTGTGTTCGGATGGAGAACGAATTGGCAGTAATAGCTTTAATATACAACACCTGGGAAAAGAAAGTTGTTATAGTGATCGGAGATTCCACGCTAGTGCATCAGGTCATCAGCATACATATGATTTTGGCTTGAGCATTATTAGTCAGATCATCAATGTACACACTACAAAGATAAAGACACAAAAATGCACCCTGGAGCGTATCGGAGCTGCTCAATATCGCTTATTTTCGCAAACTTTCAATCAACTTTGGTTGTATGGGAAATTTCGTCGCTTATAGAGCAAATGATGCGTGAACCGAAAAGCAGGGAAGCATTAGACAGCTATTTCTACATGGTTAGATCGTAACGGCAGTGCGAATATAACTACGGATCGAAACCGGGACCTAACAAGTAGATTGTAAGCACACACCAGTTTGACCGCCGAGCGAATAGTCACTTTCGGAATGTTTCCATTTGAGTCATAATCCTGGATGCTAGTGCTGAACCATGGAAAGTGTGGTACTTGTAATAGGCCTGCAAACATTCGCAGTGGTATAGTATATATATATATATCTTTAACACCACTTTTCGCAGATACGACGCCAAAATAACCATGGGGGAACGAAAAAATATAGGTAAAAAGCGGCGAAAATAAAACAGTCAACTTCGGAGAGTAAAATCTTTTGTTTGTTTACTGAACGCCATTTTGAGTTTTTTTCGTCTTTGGTTATTTTTGGGATCGCAAACAGGAGAGGATACATTCGAGCCACTGTCTTCGGTTCCATGCCATATCCCGCAGTGTCTCCAGCCAAAGACATTCTTAATCTTTGGGGCCTCAGCCGGGGAGCCGGAAAACCCCAACGAAAGACAGATCATAGCACAACATCTTTAAGCCTCTGCGCCACGTCATAACCTACCCAATTCGCTGTTTCTTCCAGCCTGGACCGATGTCTGCGAATAGTGCACGGTGTGGCAGACGATGCTCAGGCATTCGTAACACGTGCCCTAGCCACCTAAGACGATGCTGTGGTATGGCGTGAATAGGCAGAATACAAATGGTCTGATCCCCTTCCCGATGATCGAATAGACAGTATGATTGAGTGTTTTATCTATGAGGTCCCGGGTTCGATACCCAGTTTTGTCGATGGATTCGTGTTGATAAGGAGACCCAATCAGATTAAAAAAGTTGTCCAGTTCTTCCTAGCTTTTCAATTCATTTACCACTAGCTCTATACATGATCAAATTCATCATATAATCAGAGCAAATTTTCCACTGCATTTCTGCATTTTGATACGTGAAGTTTAGTTGAAAGCAGACATACAGCAATATGCTCAAGGACGACGGATGGTGAAAACATTGAGATGTTTTGTAGAAATAGAGATCAAGGCATTTAGTCAAAGGCACAAAAATAACTAATGTCAACATTTAATAAATCTTACCAGCTACCAAATCATTTGGCACTCAGATGAGAAGTGAAAGTGATCTACCCAGAGTACCCCTATTTGGCTACAATGCTACGATATACTGGTCGTCGAAGCCTGTAAATGATTACTAATGGACATAGCAATTAATCGGAAACGAATAGGAAGCACATTGGGCGGAACATCCTTGGGATTTGTAACAACAGATACTGGGTTCCCAAAGAGCTGAGATAAAAATAGATTTTTGTGGGCGCCTGGGTTCTATATTTCATCAGACTAAATATGCAACCATTGATGTCCACGGTTACTGCTGATCTAAGTGGGAGATGGTGTAGGATGGCGAATTATCTGATAATGTACGAATAAATGGACCCTTTACACTCTCTGGCCCACAATTAACACCTCCCGGCTGCGCGCGTTCCTCAAATGAAAGCGTGATCTCATGCCAGAGGAACTTGTCGGTGGAACACCTCAAACGTGCTAGGTAAAATCCTCATTTGAGCGTTCTGTCTGGTACGTAATAAGGTTGAGTTTTAGCGTGACGCACAGAATCACATAACTTAGGGGCATTTTGCTTTGGTCTTTTTGGAGATTTTGAAATTGTACAGGTCATCTCACAACTGAGAGATATTGAACCTCAATCGAACAGAATGAGAGAGTTTATGAAACGTTCCTGTGTTTAAATGGACTTTTCAAAAGGGATAACAACTCAACCCGGTTTTCATGAGGAGAAATGACATGCAATACTGTCCTGGATGCGATTTTCAGCTGTTTAGTTCCCACTGAACAAGGGTGCTCTGAACGAAAATAGTTCTTGGTTGAATGAAGGAATCCGAATTGGTTCAGGCTGATGGGCAGGGAAATTCGTTCTTGAATGTAACAAAATGTGCTTCCAATCTAGAAAACGGAGCTTTTAGGTAGATAACACCATATATAATTGATAGCACACAATGTGGGAAAACATCTGTTCCTGGTGAACTCACACTTAAAAGAAACAGGATCCGGTAGGTTGGAACAAAAAGTTGAACGAGTTGTGTGTGCAGCAAGCTGTCCTAATTGGAACGCTGTTTCGATTACGTTACCAGACACAATCCACACTTGCTCGCATATGATTGGAGTGGAGCTGTATCAAGTTTAATTGCTACCCATTACGTAGACGTGAATTTCGGTATGCACAGCCATTTATTGAGTCTCGCCACATCACTCGAGAGCAATGCGGTTTCGGACGTTAGCAACCAGAGAGGTGATTATCATCGAACTCACGAAGCCTAAACTGAGTTCTCAGAGAAAATTGATTCCTTGACCAAATAGGGAGAGAACATCGCTTGTTCGTATGATGATGTAACATAGCGAATTTGGATCGCGTGATCCAAAGACCGTAGCAATTCGGAGTTTTCTTGGACTGATTACCACAGAAACACACATAATTCATCCACCTTTTTCGTTTGACCCTCCTGAATTCTTTGTCATATAAATATGATTGTAAAGGCTTTAAGATGAGTTCACCAAAAATAGATTTTTGCCACGGTCGTGTTCCTAATCAAAGGACATATTTCACGATTTATGTTACGACTATCTTACTGGTAAATCAATGAACTCCTCAGAAACATTACGATACAGCCATTCATAGATAGCACTATTATAGAGATATCTATATAATCTGAAGTCATCGTTCACGACAAAACCGGATACCATTCCATAATGCATTCGTAATTCACTTCTCTAAGGTTAACTTTTGTGACAAAATATTATTTCTTCATGTAGTACCCCTGAAAGTCAATGTGTGCTGTGATAGAGCATTTTGTACAACGGTCATGAATGAGTGAACGTTTTTGAGTGCATATATGAGAAAATAAGTAATTCTGATTGGGGCACTCTGGTACCAAAATCCTAAATATGTGCTTTTGTCAACCCTGATGGAGGATAATGTGACGGTCAGTTGACGTTGATCATACTGATTGCATCAGGCTGCAGCTAATCAAGACAATTCCGAAATATCACTGGGAAAAGATAAACGATAACATATTATAATGAGGGCCTAATTATGAAATACTACAGAGAGGGATGTTTAGTTAACTCATTTGCAGTTTTCACCTGTTTGTTTGTTCACAGAATTTATTCTCCGGCACACACACAAAATGATACAAATTAACTGAACAAATACTCGTTCATATTTCAGTTAATATTTGAAGGCGAAAATTTCAACATTTGCACATCAATTGAGGTAGATGGACCACGTTAAAATTTCAAACGGGGTAATCCGGAGTGCCATTTCAGTTGGAATGCATTTTCTATCCCGGTAAAGTTCTTCTAAACACTAATCACAGAAAAATGGTTTCAGTCCACAAATCACAGCTTGTAATTTCAAAGCAAAACACTTTTACTTGTTTAATTAAAAATCAAAGCAGACACGGGATTCAATATTTACCAATATGTATTTCGAAAAAGCGGCGATCCATGTTGATCTATTGATTAATCTCCACCGAATTCGCTCGATCTTACGAATTAATGGAATCACATGATTTCAGGAACTCTGTTCGCATAAACGCTACCGGAGATGTTCTAACTTTCTGACCAAACAACTTACAGTCAGTTATTCAGCGAAACAATTTACGTCGATAACAATTCGTGTGCGTTTAAGACTGAATACCACAAAATGATGTTATGAAATGGTTGTTAAAGTCAATTTACTCACTTTTCGCTCTCTAAAGAATTTGTAGGACCTTTGAGGTTAAGGGACAATAAGAATTCCCGATTTATACGACAGGATGAAATAATATAAAAGAAGCACAATTGAAAATAAAATCAACGATCTTGATTCAATTTAAATTTCAACAAAGAATCTATGAAGCTAGAATTTGGTGTATTTTGTAATGGTACTTGCGTGCTGTTGACATGAAAGTGATGAAAATTAGTGTTTCCCAGCAAAATTATTTTGGACCAAAATGTTCCACAAAATTGTAATACACTGGAAGAACGAAGAAAAAATAAACTTGTGTAAGATGTATCCATAGTTTATTTCGCTGCGCCGGTACACCTATAGACAGCGTTAGAAGACCCCTCCTAAATAATGGCTTATCCTCTTTCCGTTTCCTTTGTGATTACTTTATTCTATACTAGACTCGAAAAAACTGAAACTTTCATGTCTGTATATCTGCACTTATTCAAACTGCAACATGTTAGGATGTATTGACTCAGCGAACTGATCCAGGAAACATTTTGCAAAGCTCGCACTCGCCACTAATCAGTTGGATTTTTGAACAAGAGTGATTTAAAATTACACAACATTGGTAGCCTTTGAATAACTTATCGACCGATCCCTATGTAAAATAAGAAGTGAGTCCCAAGTTGATACGTCCGTGCTATTTTGAGATTGTGGTACCAATACCAGGTTTGAGAGCAAATTAGCTATCTCGGACTACCTTCGTTCAATGTAAGATCCTTATTTATTGTCAGTGGTTTCTTAAAAATATGTAAATTTTACGTATTTTTTGACTAAAACCCTTAATGTTTTACCAAGACCTCTTCCCAGATAGCAGTGTTATGACTGATGACAGACAGTTGTTGTCAGCGTAAAATATCGCCCCACCGAAATTTTGTTCTGTTTATTCATTCAATTTTCGACAGATTGGCAATGTGGCGAAATGTTTTCCACGAAGTTGACACCGATCATTCGGGAAAGATTTCGGTATCCGAATTAGAAGTTCTTATGAAGGATATGGGTTACGATTGTCACGCATCCGACTTGAAATGTTGGCTGTCCGCGCAGGATTTGGACAAGGACGGCGAGCTCAGTTTGAACGAGTTCCTTTCATTCATCTCACGCTAACATTTGGCCGCAGACCGAGGAGCACACATCATGATTCCATGTGGTTCACGCACGCACATACACAAACACATGTATTCAAATAACTACGCACACACACATACAAATAATTGGTGATTCTTGTTTCTAGGTCCACATCAACCATTGTATCCCATAAACTTTTTTAATCCGATTATCTTTGACCAATTTCTTGTTTTGTTTTGTTTTGTTTTTCTATCCGCAACAGACTGATCACGTTTTAACTTATCTCTGATTACCTTATTCTACTATCGTACGGTTAACAAAATGAAGAAACAGTTTATAAACTATATGACGGACGTTGTTATTGATCCCTGTGTTTGATCTCCTTCAATCAGCGAAATTTATGCTATGGTAGTTTCCTGAGTAGTCCGCTGATGAAGGTAATCCATGATCAATTACCACCATTTAATTTATTGTGTCAGTCCAAAATGAATAAAACAGGTGTGAACGTTTAAGAAACACAATAAATGGTGAGTGGGGGGAGGGGAGGGATAGAATAGAAGGTGTCACATGGAGATACGGGTAATTTCTCAAATGGCCATGGTAACACCAGCGCCTGAACCAGATTACGTTGCTTGCACAACTCCGTCTTCATGATCCTAATTGCTATGGCTTTCGCAGTTGTCAGGATCTTCTTACGTAATCCTTTGGCGTGGATCTTAGGTGCAGTGAAGAAACTTGTAAATGATGTTTCTGGGTCAATCCTGTGCCCTCTGTCGACCAAATGTTGCAGAATTCAGCTATTCAAGCCTCTCACTGTTCCCTTTCGAAGAGCGGCCGGACAATGTTCAGATATTCTCTTGGGCAAACGCCTCGTTGTGTATCCGGCATAGCGAGCACTACAAGTGCACGTGAACTGATATGGAACAAAAGATTGGGACTGATGAAGCAATTTATCCTTAAGTTGTTGAACAATGAATGGTTCAGTCCTGGGTAAGAGTCTTAAATACGCCGCGGGAAAACAGTTGGCAATGGCTTTGGATAACCGATATTTCAGTATTTCTAATGTCTTGTCTCCCTTGAAGGAAAGGTTGACAAACACCTTCTTTCTAGCCAATTGCACTTTTGAATCAGTTGGTTTCGATTCCATATGTCGTAGAACAAACACTTCTGGGTATCCGTTCTTCTTACGGATGTCTCTTATGTAGGTCAAATCTTCGTTCCGAGTTTCCGGATAACAAATTCTCTTTGCCCTGTATGCTAGACAATTCATTAACTTCCGTTTGTATCTCAGTGGGACGAAACTTTGAAAATGTGTGTACTGTCCAACCCACGTGCACTTACGGTATACTCTTCTTGCGATATGGCCATCTTCCATAAGACGAAGACCAATGTTCAGAAAGGAGGAAAAGTTCTCCTTTTCTAACTCCATTGTAAATCGCATATCCTGATGAGCGTTGTTGAATACTTCAAGTAACTTACTAATGTCCGTTCCGGAGTGGCAAATGGTGAACATATCATCCATATACGTAGTGTATAGATCTAGACTGTTAATTGTGTTCCTCAAAGGTCCATCTTCGAGCTTGGCTAAAAGTATATCTGCCAGCAGTGGGCCAAGCAGTGATCACAGCACTACACCATCCTTCTGTCGACAGTATTTTTGATTGTAAAAAAACTGTACGTTCCAATTACATCTCATTATGAATTCTTTAAGTTTCATCACGGGAATTTCGATCTGGATATTGTTTTCGATGATGTATTGACAAATAAAGTCGATCGTCTCCAGTAGTGGGACATTTGTCAACAAGGATTCGACATCAAGGGAGAAAATGGTCTTATGCGACAAGTCTTCATTCCTGATATGATCAACGATTGGGAAAGAATCTTTTACGCTATATCTGGCTAGCGATTTGTATACAGGCTCTAGACTGTAATTCAATTTAGATTCAATCGGCTCCGTTATTTGCAGTCACTGTTAAACTGAGGGATCTCTTGCGATTGGGTGTATTTCAGATGAACGTTCCTCTGGCTTTCTGTCCAAATAGAATATCTGTTGATCGGGGTGATTCAGTCACAATACCCAAGCATAAGGACGGATAAAAGCACTGTTTTGATTTCAACATTGGAGATTAACTGTTTGAACCTGAATGGTTGATAATCCCTTTGAAAAACTAAATCCAACAACTTTTCCTTTACCTCACTTTCCGACCAGTGGTACCATTAAGTGAGACAGCGTCTTCAAAGAGGTTCAACATCATGTTTTTGAGATTTCATACTCCAGCGTGTGACAGCTTTTCCTTATGTGTGATACTGTTCCACAACAATCTATGACCTCTCCACGATGTACTGAATCCAATTCTGGCGCACTTCATGCATTCTCAACTNACTTCATGCATTCTCAACTGCTACTGACCCACTGCTTATGGTATTCCACATGTTATGACAACCTATGAAATGGGATAGCCATTTCTCGAAAGCTCTCAAAGCAGTATGACGCAGATAAACTAAATGATGTACGAAATTTTCCTGGGTGAAGACAGAATTGTTTATCAGCCAGAACCAAACTCACATCGCGCCAGTGATTGAAGAGATAACATTACTGGTCGGTTACAATGTTCTAGTGATGGGATTGAGTTTCCCTTCGTGCACAAGACTCCGCGTTTGCGACAAACGATACTGCGGATCTGTTTCCCGCTAAGGCAATCCTTTTCTGGTTGGGTCACACCATTCTTGATTCCGTTTAACACAGGAAATTCTATCTCAATATTTGTCTGCTTATTATTGTTAAGACCAGGTAGTTAAATGGAACCGTAGGACTGCGCTGAAGCGCATAGCTATGGGACGAAGATAAGGTTAATTTTCTTGGGGTTATATGTTTCACCATGCAGTCAGACAGAGTGATTTCCAACCCAACGTCAACCATCGGTGTGTGGTATTGGGTGTTCATTTATCCGGCAGCTTCATTGTGACTGGTCCATGCTTTGCAGATTGCTTGCATGCAGATTCCTTTATTTTATCCTAGACTGAAAAACACCTCGTCTGAGACACCCTCTACTGGCGGCACGTGCGAACTTGCGGATGTATACAGAGGCACTCACTTCAAAACCAATCTTTCCATCAAGGCTTATTTTGTTTCCTGCTGATTGCAACTATTAACTCATTATAAGTGGGTTCTCTCTAGTCTGCAATCTTTCTGTAACACTCTAAATTATGGGGATACGAACATCAGGAAGGTTTCAGTAAAGTCAACTCACGTGTTTTTTAACCTGACTATTGGCGCACTTATAAAGATTTGATACAAGCGAGGTTTGACTGCATTTGTTTATCGATGTATATACAAGACAAACCGTTTCGAGTTGAATAGTGAAGACCATAATATCGGTCACGGGTAATTTGTTCTGTCTAAATATTAAAGGAGAACCACAGCGTGTTTTCACAACCTCTTCATGATTCACCCCCATGCATAGAAGAAGAATCTCAGTGAATGCACAAACCGTTGTTGGACACACACATGGAGATGGTTGCGAATACGGATTTCCATGGATTTGACCAGAACCAAACAACAAATCTTGCCCTATAACCCACATCAACGAACCATAACCATAGGGACAACCCCCGAAAGTTATCCGTGATGCGACTGATTGAGTTTAATAAAAAATAAACCCCAACGAAACTGACCGGTTGTATTCGATACAAAACGTAGTTTTATATTGAATACAATAGTGCAACCAGAACATACCACACCGATAAACCCACAAGGCCTGGGGTGAGAATAACTGGGACTCAAAAGGAAAGCCCACACAATACCATACAATTCGAAAGGAATATGCTCGACAGATATGCAAACAACAGGCAAGGAGTGGATCTGAAGTAAATGAATGGTTGACTAGTCTTGGATAAAGAACTAGTGCAGACAAAAGTACATTGTACAATGGGTTATACAAGATATACTTGACCTGTGACCAACTTGAATGGACAAATACTGGTTGCATTGTTTGTCAAGGGGGCGCGCCCAGGACGCAGGGCTAAGGCCATGTGATGTGGCCTGTCAAAGGCCGGACAGGTCAAGCATGATGAAGTATATGTTCGGCAGTGTGAGTTTATGCACAAATTTTCAAATGGACATCATGAAGATGTAACGAAATACAAGGTAGAGTTGAACTGGACTGAAACAGAAGACATCATTTTTACTGTGGAAATAAACTTTGCGTAGAAAGCAGTTTCCCCAACGTATTCCCACCGAAAAGTAAGGGAATGTATTCTAACGTTCAATTAGTAACCATTTATTTATGTTTTCATCACACAGCCACATTTTCCCAGTTCGCCAAGATCCTATTTTGTCATCTCCTTTGCACATTGGACTAATCCTGATGGGCAGCAATTGGGGTTTGTTGCATAAATCAGCAACATAAAATTCCCCAATGAATCCGTTGACCTTTTGATAATATCTGTTCTTGAATCACACTCCTACCTGGAATCCTCTGTAATTTGTTACATGATGGAAATGCAGATATTTTGTCTTTGTGTACCCTTTCTTGCGTAAATTTTGTGTGTCAATTTTGGTAGCATGTAAGTGAATAGAAAACCTTATCATTTTTCACAAGCACATGCCTAGTGACTTTCCATGGGTTTCGTTGCTCGGAAATACTGTGGAAAAAGCAAATCAATGGAAAGTGTTCTAGTTGGCATCTCATCGATTAGCAAAATATAGTACTTATATACAACCATCATTTTTAGCCACTTGCCGAGCGCAAATCATATTAGGCTACACAGATGAATGAATTTGATTAGGAGGAAAGAAACCAGCTGACTGCTAATTGCAGAATGAAGTGCTTGTGCGTTTGGGGATTTACCAACAGACAATATCACTACAATTTAATAACTAAGGTAAGCTCCTATTTCGACCCATCGATATCTGGGCTCAAGAAGGAAGATTTGGCCGGCTTATTTTTGACCGCTTTGAGGTTCAACAGAATTCGGTGCGTAAACGTTTTTGATAACATTACCTCATCTGTATTACACGTAAAATATGAGCAGATTCA